TAACTTCTGGATAATTAGACGAAATGGATTGTATTTGTGTGCACGAGATTGTTAGCGTAAATGTACACGATGGTTATCGTTACAATTCATGGGTCTATTACGTGCAGGTACACATGTGTGCATAAGGTACTTCTCACTGTATACCCTCAGTAAATTAAAAGAATGCATTCATAGTTACAAGTAACAAAATACTGTAAAATGGATAATATTCATGGGGGTTAAATTTCACTTATTTACCATTCCAGACATATTCAGTGGGTTTTAAATTCTCGATTTTATCATTTAGATAATATGTTCTATGCTAAATTTTACATATTCACTGGGTTTTAATTTAGCGCATTTTCCAATCAGCGAAATAAGCAAAATTAAAACCCAGTGAATAATTAATCCTTTTACAGTAGTTTAAAACAATGTATTTTCACTATTTTGACGTTGTGAGTGTGTTCACTGGGTTTTAATTTCACAAATTTAGTGAATAATTAATGCATTTACAGTACACCGTTCACCACTACAGTACAAGTAGTGCCCTCTAGTGATTGTGAATTAGCGCCCTCTAGTGGTGATGCACTTGTTACCTCCAAGGTTAAATGTTTTTTTTTCTTTACTCACTTTTAAAGTTTCTTCTTGATGAAAATGGAATCTTGAAAGATGAAATCAAGAGACTGAAGATGGAAAATGCTGATTTATTTAAGAGAGCTAAGGAAGCTGGAGGTAGTTTGCAAATGCTAAAGGTACATGTATGACAACATATACTGAACTCAGTAAACTTTACTACCTACCTACATCATGGGGGAAAGTGCTTTTCATCAACAGTGTGCATACAATCCAACACATTCAACTATGAAGATAATGATGAAGATTTTGACTTTGTGTTCTAACAGACTCTAATATTTCTAACCTTGTAATTTCACTACGTTCAATTACCCACCATAGACTCCGGTCAGTCAAAATGACTATTTTGAACTGTAGGCATTAATCAGCGATTCTGCCAATGATGGAGAGATAGAATCTAGGTCAGGGGAAGCCCCATGACCCCAAGAATTTTTTCCTTACGTCACGAACCACGTGACCGAGGCCATGTGGCAGTGCCATCATAGTCAGATAATCACTTCTATTTTTATCTCTGCACCTGTTGGTTTCGTTGTGTCACCTTTTCTAACTGTATTTCGCTTCCCTCATGCATGTTGTGTTCATTTTTTGCTTTATCAATGTATTCAGAGATGGATATATGTAATGACAGCACCAGAGGCTTGCTGCCGGTTTTGTCTCCTCGTTTTTTGAGGCGATGTGCAGTGGTTATAATCAGAATTTACCAGCATAGAACCCGCATCCAAAATGCTATTTTTGCTGTGACTGCGTGCAGAGTACGGGGTTTTCGCCTTGAAGGCATGTGTTTTTCACTGGAGTTTTGAAGCCTGGGATGTTTTCCAGGACCATACAAAATCGCTGAGACTGACCGTGTCGCTCGTATTTTCACAGCAAGGTCACGCATCCAGTAAAAATCTGTTAAAGTGAGTTGCATATTGGCATGAGTGGAAAGTCCTCACGCTCGGCTACCGGTACTTCGTGTAATGAGACGTCGAGTAGGAGGCCCGATGGTGGAGGTACCGGTATTTTTCTCGGTCCCCCCCGCTGATCGGAGGGCATCCTCACAGTCTGTTTTTTCAGGCGGTGGTTTACCCGATTTTACCGGCTGCAGCGAGGCTGTGACTCTGGAGGCTCTCCTCCTATGGGGCCCGTTGTGGGTCCTTTTGTGGACCCTTCCTCGCACGGCGCCAGGTTCGCCTCCGAGTTGAGTGCTTTGGTCAAAGGATTGTCGGGGCAATTGCGTCCCTGGCACTGTCCCTCAGTCAGCAAGCAGGAAGAAACACAAAAGCATTGCTCGCATTCAAAACATGTCTCTTCCGGGGAACCCCCCGTTCCCAGCCGTGACTCTCCCGCTGATTTGGGTGAGGCGAGGCTCAGGCTAGTTGCATCAGATCTCCTCTGGGACCTTGGGCACTGAATGCCAACAGGGATGCTGGCAGCCAAGCCTCCGATTTCGGGGCAGGGCTTTTGGGTCAGGGCACATGTTGTCCCCCCCTACTTACAGCCAGCCAGGGTTCGTTGCGTGGTACCGGACTCAGGAATTTACCCTAAGTCCGGGCTCCGCTGTGGGTTTTGAATCCCTTCTTACCGACCCATGGTCATCCCCAGAGGGAACCAACCCTGTCATGAGACGCACAGTCAAACACGCTCTTGCTCACATATTTAAGTTGAAAGGAGACAATTCATTCGCGTCGGATACAGTTGGTACCTCGGGCGGTCCCTCAGAGTCTTCCATCCGTGATACGATGTATATACCCCCACCCTTGATCCTAAGGCAACCACTTACTGTTGCTTCAATGCTTATGGGATCACATGCGTTGGGATCCAAAGCAACCCCGTCGGCACATCTCCCCCTGTTCAGCCCAGTGCTGAGTGGGGTGCAGGGCGTGCAGACAATGTTGATGGGCGGACGTTGGTAAGCCGCAGAGGAGGTAATGCCTAAGGCCCCCTTTCCGCTAGACCAAACGCTATTCAGTCGGTGTGGTTTTGGCATCAGACCCCAAAGTGTGACACCATTTCGACTGGCTAGCCTCACTAGACTTAAGCAGGGCCTACCTGCGCATATCGATGCACCCGGCGAGTTGCCATCTCCTACGAGTCTCCCATCTGGGCCAAGTATTCGAATCTCGGGTGTCCCCCCCCTTTGGGTTATGCACAGCGCCCTACGTTCCACCAAAATGGATGGAACAGGTGGTGCTGCTGCCACATTGCGCAGCCGCCCAGTACAACGCTTGTTGCTACAACACACGGCTCTCCTATGGGAACTAGAGAGATGGGTATTGATCCCGGACCAATTGAAGGAAGCCCTGCCCTGTTGGTCGTCACTGGCCAACTTCAGACAGGGGGTCCCTTTGGACCCACTCGCCGCAGCTATGACACTGGTAATAGATGCCTCTCTCCAAGGTTGGGGAGCACATCTATTGGATGAAAAAGCCCAAGGTATATGGCCCTGCATTAGTTTTGGGACTGACATATCAACCGGCTCGAACTGAAAGCAGTGCACTTAGCACTACCACACTTTCTACCCGAAGTTCAAGATCACAGAGTCCCGCTCCACACAGAAAACACAGCGGTGGTCTCTCTTAACAAGGAGAGAGGACACGTTCCCCATCGTTGTCAGTCCTAGCGGAGCAAATTCGCCTTTGTTGCCTGGAATACAATGTGGAGCTAACCGCACACCACCTTCCAGGGGTGAGGAACAGTCTGGCAGACGCCCTTTCAAGGCGGCTTCGTCTTCAGAAAACGGAGTGGCTTATACCCCAGTGGGTAGCCTTCAGGCTGTTTTGGCTGTGGGACAGTCCAAAGAGACCGGTTCGTCACACCCCAGAATGCCAAGCTTCCGACGTACACAACACTCCTGTCGACTCAAGGAGCCTGGGGCAGGGTCACTTTGCTGACCCCGTGGACCCACATAGATGAGTATGCCTTTCTTCCCTTCCCACTAGTTCA